GGCTCTTTCAAGCTGAACAAGAAGCCGGGCGAGACCAAAGAAAAAGCCCCGAAGAAGCGGGCAGCGGCAGCCAAGCCCAAGAAGCCGGCGGCCAAGAAGCCCGCGAGCGCCGCCAAGAAGCCCAAGAAGGCGGCGGCGGTGAAGAAGAGCCCCAAGAAGGCGAAGAAGCCGGCGGCCGCCGCGGCCAAGAAAGCGGCCAAGAGCCCCAAGAAGGCGGCCAAGGCTGCGAAGCCCAAGAAGGCAGCGAAGAGCCCGGCCAAGGCGAAGGCGGTGAAGCCCAAGCCTGCCAAGCCCAAGGCGACCAAGCCCAAGGCGGCCAAGGCGAAGAAGGCGGCGCCCAAGAAGAAGTGAATGATATTGGAAGAGTCCCATCTGCCTGGCAGATAAACCCAACGGCTCTTTTAAGAGCCACCCCACTTATTCCTAAAAAGAGCTGAAACACTTTAATTTTTTGAAGGATATCTGTAATTTTTGTACATGTTTAACTTGATTTTTTATGCACTGTTTTTGTTTACAGTCGATTAGATAAACAGCACACGCTGTCTGCGTTCATGTTTTCCACCAGTACCGCGTAGCTCCGTCCCAGTGTTGACAACGGCACGCGGAACGTCTAGCTTATTTCAACGCATCCCGGCGGGAGTGATGCAGAGAGCTTTGCGCAACTCACGAGAAATCAGTGCGAGCCCAAAGTCCCTATCAAAGCTGGACGACCGGAGCTGACGGTGACCACACGGCTGCCGTGCAGGGCCGGGCGCGGCTGCCTACGCTCATCTCCGCCCATCAGCTTGCCGGGGTGAGAAGCCGCGCTCGGATGCGCTCCCGCCCGCGCCCCGGAGCGCTGCTGATTTTTGAAAAGCCCGCGCTGCGCAAAGATTGGCCCGGGCTCTCAGGCTTTTCTGATGCACAGGGGATTTCGGGTTATATAGGCGCCCCGTCTCTAATCCAACACGCACTGGCTTCCCCTGCCTAGCGGAAGACGATTATGAACTTCCTGGGTACGTGTTTACCTTCCGTGCTCTAGACTTTCTCGCTCCCAGTCAAAATCTGTCGCCTGGAAACTCCCCTGGAGAGGAAGTTCCTGGAAGGAACTCCCCTCCCCTGGAAACCCCTGGACCAAGCGGCTCGGAGCGGCACGGGTGCTTTCCGCGCCTTTCGACCAGTCCATGGTGCTGCCCCCCCCTGCCTCCCTCCCGCCCGCACCTCGCGGAGGTGAACCTTGCGCCCCGGGCTGCCGGGCTCTGCGGTGGAAACCGCGGGGGTCGGTGGTTCCGGCGCGTCTCCCCCGGCCCTCCCGCACGGACCCTCCCAGCTTCTCTCCCTCCAGCCTCTCCTTTTTTTCCTTTCCCCAGTTCCTTGACCGTGCCTTTCTTCCTTCACCTTTATTGCTTTCAAGAGAAATCCCCCTCTACCTCCCGCCCCCACGCCCTTAAGAAGCTTTCAGGAAAACGGTAAGAATAAAAGCTGCGTTTCCTCGCTTTCAGTCATAATAGTGATATATCACCGCTTCCTCGGCAGATAGGAGGAGGAATTTCAGGGGATTTTCTGCTCGGGTCCTAACAAAGATAGATGATCTCAAGTCCGTAGCAGCTTACCTCCTTTTCCCGAAGTGGTTACCCGAATACAGTGTCTCTGCAGTTTAGAGGAGAAATTGTGGGATCAGATTTTGCATTGTTCGTGCGTTTGTATTTTTGCAATGAACGCCAGCATCCTAAATGTCTGTACTGACAGTGAATCAAATAAAAACGAAAACCTCTCCTCTTAAGCCATCTTCCTCAAAAGCTGTTCCTAAGCTGCTTCTGCCATTCTCACTTAGGCTGCATCTATTTTTTTTTGGGGAGGGGTGGTATTTTACTTTTTTTTTCTTCCTTGCTTAGGTATGTCTCCCTCTATACATATGAGCACCCGCACATGCATCCCACACTCGTTTCAAATTTATCCAGCCATATCCTGCAACCCGAACAGTTCAAATTCCTGAGCTCACAAGCGTTTGCCTTTATCTGGGGTGAAGATGTGCTTAACAGACTCTTGCAGTTATCATAAACTGAGGCTGTTGGGAGTCACATCCACTAATTCTTACAGGGTTTCAGCCAACTACTAGCGCTGGACTGAGAATGGGTCAACTGTGGTTTTCTAGCCCTTTACAACTAGTCGGAAGGTAGTGGATTTTGACAGGGAACAGTCCAACAACAGGTATACTTCAGTAGCAAAGATGGTCATCATGCTTAACGTATTTTTTCAGAATGGAGCCTGAAAAGACCAAAGCCAGACAGTTGTAATGACATGTGCGAAGCAGTATGACACACCTCTGTTAACTGAGTTGACCTTGACAGGGCCACTCTGGAATAAACATTTCAGCTTGTGGAGCGTGTCAGGGTAGGTGGTTCACCCTCGGCATGTTGCAACTCTCCCTCTGTGGCCTCTTGGAGGAGGAATCAGGGTGTTTTGTTCCATTTGCTTAGCGGTAGGAAAGAAAACTCATGTTACTACTTTCTTTTTCTTCTTTTTTAAATAAAATTCTGTTGGAGCAATTACCACCACAGGTAACTTTGGAGCGTGTTGTTAAAATTTAGAAGACTAGGGCGTTACTGAACCCAAGTGTCAATGGAGAGCACTGGCCTCAGATCAGGTGATGTTACCAGTCCAAAATACCTTTACAGGCAAATAGTATATAGCTATGAGTTCAGCTGAATGGACTTTATAGTCCTTAGTAGAAGACAGCTGCAAAAGAATGTAAGAGATTGTTCCACATCAAAGAAAGGAAATGTGTGTCTATGCAGGAACAGTGAAAGGACTAGCCATATGGGCTCCAATGGATGCAGCACAGGGGAAGAAAAATTGGGACGGAATTAATATAAAATTCCTGTTAAACTTGAAAAGCTGAGCTGGGCAGAACAGCACAAGTACCTACTAAAATTGTTTCTCCCAACAGCAGAAAGGGAGTGCAACACAAGAGCAAGAGTGGCCTGAGAAAAGGGAGCTTGCAGGAACAAGTCGCAGCCAGTGTAATGTCATGTTTGTGCCAACTGCACTAATGGCATATCAGCCAGTACCCCAAATTAATTTTGGCTTGCCTCCTTCCACTCAAGCTTGTGCGCTGCTAGCCCTGTGGATGCCAGCCCTGCTCCGCTATGGCAGTGGGTGTGGGCAAATTCTGAAATTTTTTCCTTAGAAATAGCCCATCTTAAAGTATTGAGTCACTGTCACAGTGCCTCATCACCCTGCGACTGTCAGGGCCCCACATCACATTCAACAGGCCACGCTACAGCTGCTTAAGCAGTTTTCTATGCTGAGTCATAACAGAAGCCGACATCTTAGGAAAAATTCAGAGGATGCTATTTTGCTGTCATGATTCAACTTTCTAACCATAACCTGCTGAGCTGAGGTTCATTGTGTGATTTATGATTGCACTGAGGAAGGGACACATCTCACACTTTGTTGCAGATGTCCTGTTGGACATCTGGGCCTTCATTTGTTTTTCTCAAATCTGTTATGATGCCTGAGGAGACTGGAGAAAGAAGGAAAAGAGATGAGCTCTGCTCAAGATAGCTCCTTTGCTAAGATGGAATTTTGTAGGGTTAGCACAAAAAGGACTTGGGCATGTGCCCACAATGAAAACTCAAACCCCAAAACACCCAAGATTCCATGCCACACACTATTTGCTTATCTGTAATTTATTTTTTTGTATGTTGTTGGATTTTTTTTAAACTAAAAATGGTGGCGATCAGGTCAGTTTTTGGACCTCGAAGAAATTTACTGCAAAGAACCATTCCTTGCCCTTCCTCCCTGCCTCCTTTCTTGGTTTAGCAGGTGTCCCCTTCTGAGAGCCAATTGGCAAAAACTTCCCTAGACTGAACCTACAATATTCAGGGGTGGCATCAATATGCCGAAATAGGTTTCCAACAAGATGTTAGTATTCTAGGGTAGGACATCTCAATTGCCACGGAGCATCCATTATGGTTCTTGATCTTTTTATAGAGGCTTTGTCCTGCTTGGGGTTTGTAAGGTGCTCAGATTAATGCCTTTTCAGAGATGGATAGTAGATTACAAAATTTCTTAAATTCCTATGATGCTCTCCTGAATGGAGACCACTCCATATTATGGACTCTATGCAACTTGAATACCTTTGCCTGGAACACGAGTATGATGGTAATCAGAGCTTTAGGTTCTCAGGCACCAAACACATTATGTCTTTTGTGGCTAGCTCTGACCTGGACTGGAATCAGATTTATCAGTGATTCTGTGCAGCTATTTGGCGTGGGTGAGCTGAGCTGCTCAGTGGCCAAAGGTGGGGTGTCTTAACAGGAGGCAAAGAAAAGTCCATGACTGGTAAGTACCTAGACTGAGATATAACACACAAATATCCACTTCCAATTTTCAATGGTAACTGAACTGCTCAAAAATTAGGAGTAAGCTCAAAATAGGTTCAGAAGTGTGAATTATTGAAAGGAAGATCTGCTTTCATTTGCTGTCTCCTTCATGGGGTTGGCTGCTTATTTCAAAGATCTACTTACTAAGTATATAGTGACATCAACAGTCTGTGATGTTGCAACACTGGAAGTAGAAATAGGGCAAGAAACAACAAAAATATCTGTGATTAGCTAAAGGTCTCCCATATACCAGAACAGACTGAAAGCATCTGATCTGGCAAAAATTCTGTTGACATAAAGTTACCCTATCAAAGAACAGTAAGCCGCTTTGTACAGATGGACACTTTTGTACTATGGGGTTAGAGAATTTTTAATTTGCATTAGTCACCATAAAGCCAGATTACCTGCTCATAAAACCAGGTAATTTCTGTGCACGTACTTACCTCTTTGTTCTATGTTTGTTTACTCGTGTGCTTTTTGTGTATCTATGATTCTGTTACTATAATTGTTGTCATGTGTGAGTTTGACTTTCTTATTCATGCTTCCAGAATATCTGTCTCTTAGAGGTTCAGAAAAAAAGTCAAACCTGAATTTTATTTTATGTGAGACTACTCCAATACTAACACAAAAATCTTTCACTTATGTTAAGAGAAAATTGGAAGTTCATCTGATAAAAGGCTGAATGATGTTAGATCATTCACAAGGATGTATAAAATAGGTGTAAGCTGTTGTTGCATGCCCCCTGAAGTAGCAAGTACTGTAAGCTCAGTAAAGGTGGGAAAAAAAGCCTTCATACTATCCTGGGATGTGTAAATGGAGAGATGTAAATAAATACATTTCAGAACTAAGTTTACAGGTTTTCAAAAGGATGGAGTTGGATGGAAAGACAGCTACTGCATATGGAGAGAGGGACAGGGACAGCAGCTGTGGAGTTCCCTGGAAGTGAGATTGTGATGCAAATATCATCCATACCAGATCTGTGCTCTTCTCGTCACATGGTAGTGTGATCTGGGCCAGCTGAAGTTCAGGTACACAATCACTCTTCACTCAGACACTTTCATGCATTAGAGTTTTTCTCTGCAAATATGTGCCACAGGTTTCTTTTTTACTACCTAGATGATGGTCCACCCAGCCCAGTGCCTACCCACCTTGGACACGGGGGATACCAGCCCTATTTTTCTGTGGGGCTGTTTTGGGTTCCCTCTTTCTCAGAACATGTTGTCTTTTGTTCTCCAGATGCCTAATCTCTTAAGTGTCCTTGTTCCTATCAGATAATACATTCCCATCCAACTCCTGTTAAAAATGTTTTGGGGACAACAACAGTGGGCTGTACAAGGCACAGCAAGGTCATTGGTGGGACACCTACTGGGATCCAGTCCCTCACTATGTCTCTGACAGTGAACTTACCACTCCATATTCAATTTTGCACAACTCTAGCTAGCTGTGTAGTTGTTTTGTTCTAGTTTTCACTTTTCAAGTATTTTTTTCACGGTCTTCTTTCACTTCCATTTGCCATGGGAGTTTTGCTCCTTCAGATCTCCTGCCGCTTGTTGAGACATCAGTGAAACCCCAATGCTTGGGCTTCCCAAGGACAGCAGGGTTTGCTTTTCAACGAATTCAGGATTGGGCTGTCAGGAACTGTGGAAAGAAAGGAGTGTGTGTGTGGAAAAAAGTAGGATTATTGCTCTCATCAAACCCCGAAAAAAACCAAACCAAACCAAACCAAAACAAGCACAGGTAGGTCAGGGCTTGCAAAAAAACATTTAAAAAAACCCCAAATAGCAACAACAAAAAAGCTACTATTGCTCTTTCTGCAACCAGTGCTATGCTGGCACAAGTCAACCAAGGCTGCGTATATTGGGCCCACATACAGCATATTCATACTCAGCTATATGTAGCTGCCCTGGAACATTTTGTGTATACCAGGGTAATGCACATTCCCATTGTCACTACAGTCTCTTGTCACTGCAGCAACTTCCTCCCTACTTCTTAGTTTTCTCTGCCATGGATTTACCATAATCCCAAGAGCTCTGTGTCCACACCCTAACTGTCTGCCTTTGACCACTTTGGTCTTGACTCCTTAAGCATGAGATAATTCACTCTGTTTGGTGGAGACATAATCTTACTGTCATCAGCTTCTCCCTCCTGGCTGGCCCAGACCTGGTGAGGGGAGATTCTGAGCACTCCTGAAGCAGGTGACTTCTTTCATGAAAGGGGGATATGTTTCAGGCCTATTTCTTCCTCCCCAATGTCAACAAAAAGCTGACTATGTATTCCCTGTGACAGCTACCCAGGAATCCCAGCTGCCCAAACAGGAAAAGCAAGCTACAGAGGGGCAGCAGAGAATCTTAGTGCTGCCCAGAGACTGTTACCTCTCTATCTCAAGCTACAGCTTAATTTTATCAGCCCCAGTAGACTACATAAAATCTGATGCATAATTGGGAATCACCTGGGAGGGAAGGAGAGGGGGGAAATCAGCTCTAGCCCCTTCCCTTTATTAGAAGAATTTATTTCATGAATTAACATTAGGGATATGAATAGATGTGTATCTGCTTCTTTTTAGAAAAGCAGTTTCCATATGGGTTTTGGATATCTCTCCAAGGAGAGCATGGAGGCAGGGAGGAAGCTGGGAAGAGAAGGGGAGAAATATTACCTATAGTCATGGATTCCTGGGCAAAAGCAGCTCTGCATGGAACAAGGTTACAGCATGAAGCTTGAATTCAATATTATCCCACCAAAGAAAGGCAAACACAAAAATTCAGCTTCTTGGCTGGAAAACTCACCATGGAGAACATGAGGCAGTGACCCAGTGATGCCCAGACTTGTCAGATAACCACATGGCAGGGGTCTGCAAGTAGGACTAACTCCCAGAGAAGACCTGTAAGACAGTAAAATCCTCCAGGACTAAGCAGACCTGGAGACATGGATTTTCATGGCAGAATAAACTTGGGGAGTCATATAGCTGGTAGTGCCATACTGGCTGAAGACTGATGATGAGTAAATAGTACATCAGGGATCCTTCCTTACCAAAGCTGGATTTGGCTACCTTACTCCAGAAATCTCCAGGAAATGAGAGAGGTCCCGAGTACAGGGAGACCAGTTTCTCATGGTGGCTTGGTCTCCTACAATAGTCCAGTCATAGTCTCTGGATTTCCCTCCTGGGAAGTGGGAAACTGACCTTAAAAAAGGGAACACCAAGCACTTAGCCATGACATCCCCACTGTACTTGAGTGTTATCCCCACGTCCCAACCCAAGATACTGTCAAGTTATTTATGGAACTCAAGTACCAGAAATTTTGTTACTGATTTGAGCCTTTTGGATGCCTCCTTCAGAGGCCTGGTGTTTGTCTTGCTTGGTTTGGGTTTCCTTTGAGCCCATCCTGAAAAGACTATAGAGGAATAATATGTCAGACTGCATCATTTTTCAATTTGACAGTGAGGGGTCACTGGAACAGTGGCTTCCCTGCTAGCAGATATAGTGTCTTTATCCGTGGCCTATTTGGGCAAGGACAGAAAAAAAGAAAAAAAAAAAAGGAGAGGATCCCATGCCTTCATTTAAGGAAGGCTGGCAATACTTAGGGCCAATAAGACTCTAACACTTGACACCACAACAGTAGAGTGACCTTAAAGGCTGCTGATACAGACTGAACTTGCTGACATTTTTGGAATCACTTGTGTGAGTTTAATCCAAAGATAGATTTAAACTTAATCCAAAGTGGCTGCAGTGTTTCTGACCTAGAATTGGAAACATAAATTGTCTTGTTAAACATAATCTCCAAGAATAGCTCTTGGAACTGAAGCTGGAAAAATTATCTGATGAGTTAAATAATTACCCATTAAAAGAAATGGTGTCTATTAGCAAATTCCACAAAACACTACATCATGTGTGAAAGTACCACGGCAGAAAGATACTTAGCCTAAAAAGAGCTAATCCAGTATAAACTTAGATTATATATATATGTATGTGTGTGCACGCACGTGTGTGTGTGGGTGGGTGAGTGGGTATATGCATATATATTCTGGACAGGGCTTACAGAACCATTTTTATGTCTCATTCAGACAGTGAAATAAGACTCTTGCGGACTGAGATAGAATGTTGTTGAAACTCACAGGTTTATTCATCAGAGATAACAATAAGAGACAAACATGTTTTTATCATGAAAGAAAGGGAATTGCAAGAATTATTCCATGGACAGAAGACTTCTCCTGGAAGTCCTCCCAGGAGGAATATATATATGAAGCGACTAGACTAGGAATTTCAAATCAAATCAAATACCTTTCTTGGCATGTGTTTGTGCAAGAGCTACTTTTCCTTAGGGTAAGAAGTTGGCACTGAGTAATCCACCTGCATTTGTTAGAGCACTTACCTCTGTATTGCTGTAAAGTCTTTTTCTCTAATTGCAATGGAGATTAAGGACTGAAGGACTTCTTAGGAGAAGTCCTAACACAGCCTTCAGCAAACAGCGGGATTAAGTTCCGACTTCTAGTTTTGTATTGATTTTTGGTTCAAGAGTCCTGTTGAAATGCTGAGAGGCTGCAAGGAAGAAAATCTCCTGGGGCTGTTTGATTAGATCTCTGTTCAAGACAATAGGGCTCAGTATATTGATGTAAAAAAACAGAATTGCGATGACATCACAATTTATCCTCTTACTAGAATAAGCTGGAAAAGCCCACAGACAAACAACTGTCATCAAACACAGTTTGATAATAACATTTGGGTTTCTGTATAGCATCAGACCCTCAAAGTCTTTGTGGTATGGTGTTTACTATGCTACAGTTGCCTGAGTATGAAGGACTACAAAAGAAGATAAATTCACATCTTCAGAACAGAGGACAGGCAGGGACAGTCCCCTGCCACCACAAGCAAACAAGTCGTACTCATTTTGTAAACTTGATTTTTTTTAATCTTATATTTTATTTTTCTTTAAATTCTGGGTAACTGTTGGTGAGTAAAATTGCCATACACCCCCAGTGACGGACTGGGGCTACTTGAGGTGTTTCCTGGGGTGGGGGGTGAAGGTCGAGGTCCTGCCACCCAGGGAGCGGCACCTCGGCCTAGTGGAGCCTGCAGCCACCAGCGTGCTCAGTAGCAAATGCAAACAACAGAAGCACAGGAAATAAAAACTGTTCAAACAACACCGAAAGCTACTTATTGTAACTCTGCAAATCCTTTCACGCAGATTCTCACCATATTCTGCCCAGAGCTGCAAAAGTTAGTTTCAGGCCTGAAATATTATGGGCCAAACGCAGCAGCCTGACTCAACAGCCATGCAGTGAGCGCGGCTGGGGGCAGTGGAGGTAGGAGGGAGGGTGTGAAATCCAACTAACTAAAAAGGAGACTGAGCCATTGATTGAGGAGTGTTATATCTTTGTGTAACGATGCATTATACAAAGCCCTTCGGCTTCCGGGTGGGGAAAGAAAGAAAAAGAAAATAAAAGTAAAAGAAATGTCCATGAGAGGGCAGTAGAAGCTTGGTTCTGGGAACATTTTTTTCTCCCTGACCATTTTCACCTCAAGAGCCGGCTAGTGAATGTCAGCAGCTGCAGGCTTTGTGATGAGTATCGAGAAATACTGCTTCTTGTTTTCAACAGCAAATACCTCAGAAGGTTTTTGTTTGCCCCAAAGAAAGCGACTGAAGAATTGAATACCTTCCTCTGAAGGAAAAAAAAAAAACCAAAACCCTGTTTTTTAAGGTTATTTAATGCTTCAGTCTCCCGAAACCATATCATTGTTTATACCACTACAGGAATGGAAAAGTACAGTATAAATATTTGTCCAGAAGAATCATTTTACCCTGATGGAAAAGTGGTCTGCAAAAGGGTTAGGCTTTCGCGATTAATGTACGTCTACTGCCACAATTGTCGTGGGTAAACGTTCAGAAGGAGCAGGAAATGAGGAACAGAAAGAAGTTCAAGGAAGAGAACAGTCTGTCTGGAACGCGACTGGTCAGCTTTTGCTGCAAAATGCGCCCTTAAAAAAAAGGAAGGAGCAAATATCTGAAACCAGTGAAACCATATGTGAGAAACGGCGCTACGGGAACGCTCAGCAAACAGGTAAAATTATAATGAATAACACATCTGTATATTTAACAAAAAAAAAATGTAGTCAAAAAGCAAAGAGCAGTTTAAGAGATTCACTTAGCCGGGATTCACTAACCCGTGTGCAATCGAGATTTCCGTTCCAGCTGAGTGTGACGCAATAGGTGAGCTGAGTTAGTATGCCGAAAAATATACAGCTATTACACACAAAGACCTAATTTCTTTCTCACCTGAAAGCACAAGCTTGACGGAACAGCCCAAAACCACCAGGAAGGGTGCGCCCAGGGAAGTGGAACTCGTCGGAAAACCGTTTCTTTGTGCCAACGGGTTGCGCGGGAGGACAGGCGCAGAGAGGCGGTGGGAGCCGAGGCGCCAAGCTCCGCCCCCG